CGGCGTATCCGACACGAAAGGCCAAGACGTTTCGGCACAACTTCTTTATCGTCGTTGCTCCCGTCGCTTACGAGGTCGGTGTTGTTCCGCATGCCTCACACGAGACGCGGTGTTCGGCAGAAGAGGGACGAGGAGCAGCGGAGAACAGGAAAGGAATTGTTGCGTGATCCGCCCTTCTACTCCAGCTATACGACGACAACACGCTCTAATCAGTGGCAGTAAAGCCGAGTCAGATTCTTTTGTGTAACCGGGTCGAGCTATCATTATCGGATCAGTTACGTATCGTCGCCTACTACCTCTGTGGTTAGATCGGGCCCTCCAATCACGGCGTTCCTCTGTCCCTTGACCCGACTCAAGCATATACTTAGGCCCCAGGGACCCGACGGCGAGCCGCTCCTGAGGACAGTAATTTAAATTCAACGTGGTGCGTCGGTCGTCGTCAGTGATCGGAAATTCGGAATTCCCCGCCTAGGCTGAATCCATTTTTCAACTTTTCCCTCAGGAAAGACTCTAAAAATTGAGTGGTCGGTTTTTATTGGCGCTTGAGATAATCATAGTTCTCTCAAAGTTGCCCTCGCGGTCGGACCAGAATCATGTTTATCCATCAGGAAGGTTAAGAAGCTGTTCCTCGAACAGGAGGTCCTTCTTCGGTCGAGCCAACGCAGAGGTTCCAGAGAACAAGAGAAAAGGAGGAGGAGGAGGAGCTAAAAAAAACGACAAGGAAAGCGAGTCATCGTCATTCGACCCGGCTGACACCACGTCCGACCAAAAAACGCCTACTTCATGAAGGGAGTCGTGATTGAGACGAGGACAAAAAAAATGTTGACAAATCGAATTGGCCGAGTGGAGGCCTGACGGAATTTTTGCTCCCGATCCGCCGCTCGCTACTACACACAAACGACAGCTCGCTTGAAAGCCTGTCTACAGTGCTGTACGCCGCCGGTTACAAAACCAACAGTCTGTCCGCTTTCATCTAAGATGCGAGCGACGGCTGTCAGGGCCCATTGCAACTGAGCTAATATTTCCACCGATCCCGAGCGTGGGCTCCCAGTCAGTGGCCCTCCCGCACGCCCAGTTGCCCTGGGGCCAGCGGCCGATGCGCATGCGGGGCACAGCTCACGCGGGAAGCAACCGGGATCAAGTTGCACTCTGGTGCATTACGAACAAAGCAAATATTGACAATGCTTTCGTGAGCGGACGATTCGTCGACGGAGGAACACTCCGCAAATCCATCACAGGTATCATCGCGCATGCCCCCCCCCCCGCCCTCTTGCCCACGCACACTCACTCACACACAGACGACGAGTCGAGGTGGGCTTCTCGAATTCCGCTTGAAACATTATTTTGCAATCGGCTGAGCTCTTCGGACCTTATCACCGATCGTCCAACCTTCGGGCACAAGAAATACGGCGACGAGGAATATTTCTCCTCCGCGTCGGAGTAAGAGCTCCTGATCTCTCAGACTACGGATTCCGATTTCCCTCTTGGACCATGTAGGCGATTTCGGCACCGAGCTCGCATCACGAGCGATACTCTCAGCTCTGCGTGGTTCTCCGTCGGTTTTTCCCTGAGAATCCGGAGCGATGATCCCTAGGAGACCAGCCATGCAGGAAACGCTGCTTTCCCTCGGACTTCCGGTGATTGTCGGGGTTGTGGACGGCGCGTTGCCCGGATCACGAGAAATTCGACGTAGTGACGTACTCATGGAGCGAATTCACACTCGCGGCGTTGTGGGTGTACTCGGAGTACGATGGCGCCAATAAGTTTGAGAATTCGTCCTGAACAGAGGCTCTCGGCAAAGACTGATACGTTCCCCTTCACGCTCTCCACGTCGGAATCGTGGATCTCTGCGCGAGACAGAACTTTGCTGCCTCGATATCCGGTTGCCCCATTCGACAATCGCAATCAATCGCAGCCCTCAAAAGCAAAATGTCCGAATGGTGAGGAACGGACATGTTTCCGGTCGTTGCCACCATGATATGAACTCCATGTGTCGTATTCAACGACGACGACCGTCGTACCGTCTTTGGCAGCCGGTCCGGATGTCTCCGCCAGGCGGCCGCGGCGATTTATCCAACGCTTTCGGTTGTCGGGCGAGCGTATCCGTGCCGGGGCTTGGCGAGCTACGGATTGTCCCCAAGTTGTTCGCGGGGCTGTAACGAGGAGATCATTTGCCTTCTTCTGTTTGGCCAAATTGGCCATAACGCCCGTTACTCTACGTTCGGCTTCACCAACAACCATTCCACATGCTGGAGGGTCGGGGCCTATCCAGGACCGTTGTCCCGTGGCCGTTGCCTGAAATACTCGGCCGGCAAACAACCAGAGGGATGCCAAGATGGGGCGGCAATGGCAAGCTTACTAAGCGGCGGTGCCCCACGCGACGTAACAGCCGTCGTATAAGACGGGCAAACCGAGCGACCAGCCGAGCAGCGGTCATAAGCTCGCCGCCACTCCGCTCATAAGCTCACTAGCAGCCTGTGTGGCACAACGGTTGGCGTGCGTCTGCGAAGAGCGGTGGAAGCACAGCAGCAACAAAAGTCACAAAAACCTACCAGACAGCACCAGATAAAAAGTTATGCCAAATATAGCGCTCGGGGAGTGGGGAAGCGGCGCTGTGGAACAACCACAAGTATTCGACCGCTTTCGTAACATATCAGAATTACGGCATTCTTTCCCACCCCTTGCTTCCCGTGCAGTCGCTGTCAGACGCGGTTGACTTCGAGTTTATCCTTTCGGTTTCCGCTTATTCCCCGCATCGCACATCCAGATCCCCGACCCCGGCAAGGCGTCTCGTCGTCATCATGGCCGACACACCGAAACCGCGACAACATCGTGATGGTTTTAGTGGCGTGTAATGCTCGATTCAGTTTGCGAATGACGAGGAACATCCCACCACAGACATACG